TCATTCAGTAATCATTCAAACTTGCATCTTATTGAGATCATCTTAGAATTTTTGTGCTTTCTGTTGCTGTCATTATTGGATCTTTTTGTCTTTTAATGATACACAAAAGATTACCTTAAATTAGCAAATTTCCAAGCAACACTTAAAATAGATGTGTGGGCCTGTGTGTCCACCATTTAAAAATTCTTATTATTTTACATAATCTTAATGCAACAGGTCCATCCTCTCTTTTTCTCTGCAGAAAGTAGAATTCCTATTTTTCATAACAAACCACCTTCCAAGTATTTACTGTCTTAGCCTGTCTAGGGTAGCTCATACAGACCATTGATTGTAATCCTCTGATGAATAATCTCTAAGTGTGAATATGTATATAAGGCAGATGGTACCAAACATTTTTGCATTTTAACTCCAAAATGCAAACTCTCAATAGCATAGGCTGAGGTGTGAATTTCCACTTAGCCATCCTCACAGGTGAAACATGAACAGAAATTTAAGTGAGACATGACAGGAAGGATAAGTACTTGTGACTAACACTTGCCATCATCATATTATAAGGATCTTACAGTACAGTTTTAGTCTCTGTATCCCAAATTGTTGAACCAAACCCATCATTTGCACTGGGGTTCATGTTTAGGAACTTGGCGATGCTTTCTTCTCTGTGGTGACAAAACCAGCTCTCTTCACTGTTTTACAATAGTGAGATTCAAAGCAGTATGATGATAGACTGACAACAGTGCAAATTCTTCCCCTGACTCTATTCCTAAATTGGTTTGTAATGCACTGATCAGATGTATAAGAGGTGCTAAGAAAAGTATATCAGAAAGTGTGTGGAGCACATGATGAATGTGCACTGCAGAAAAACTCAACTCCTTTTTATTGAACTGTAGAGTGTTTGTAAGTGTGAGCAGTGCAGGAAAGCTGAGTCAGCAAGACCTTGATTTGCAGCATTACCAAGGACACAGTAACTTCATTTGGAGTTGTGGGTGTTTAATAGCCTTGAAAATAGGACTGCAAGAGATGCTATTTAAGGTGTGAGGCATTTCTGTCTGCTGAAAGAAAACCTGAAGAAATTATGCTGTTTGTGTCTAGGGATAAGGATAAAAAATTGCCTACTATTTCTTCTTCAGAAGTCTGTTTTTCATCAGCATGTCAAAATATTCACTCTGACACAAATGAGAAGAATTAGACTGCCTGTAAGAGGGATAATTTTGGTATATAATACCAATTAATGGACAATATTGGATATAATACTGCAGATCACTGTGTGTTAAGAGTGGTTGGGTACTGAATCAAGTCGTTGAACCATAAGGAGGGGCACACTTTCCTCTGCTATTTTGAACATGAACAATTGTGCAAACCCTGCCCAACAAAGGGCTGCAATAGCTAACGTGAAGTAACCTGAAGTGCCATCTAATTATTTTTAAAAGCAGGTAGGTTGTAGCCAGTTTCATATTTTGTGGCAAGACAGGTATTAATCACTGATGTTCAGATTAGTTGTTCTGTCTTAGGCTGAGTTGCTGAATGCATCCAAAGGCTATACTTTTCACCTTTTTTGTTCTTACGGGGTGTTTTTGGATAGTAGGTGGGATGCTATCTGTATGGGAGTGTTTTGCAGCCCCTGTATAATCCCCTGGGCTGTACTTTGGCTAGGGTAATCTAAATCCTGTTTCTAGCCATCTGGGATTCTCCGGAGTGTGAAAACATCATGGGATTTTGCATGCTTCAGCATAACCTACTCGAGATATGGGACCTTGTTGTGACAGGCTATATCAGGATGGTAGCAGATATACATTGGCAAGATCTGGACAACCAGCAGTGCCAGAGGGCACTGGGCCAGCACTGTTGTGGTAAAGGCTGACTGTGTTACGGATAAAATGTGTAATTAACTGGAAGCATGTGCTGGGATTCTTGATGCACTGCAGTTTGCTTTCAAACATTTTTCTGAAAGAAACACAGCATGCTTGTTGGTGCACTTGTTAGTGGCCATCAGCCAGTTCTTCTTAATGTGGATAAATTAGTGGTGAGAACTAGTTATATCTAGAAGAGGATTTTTGCCTTGGTTACCAGTTCCTGGAAACTTTTATGTTTATTTCCATCCCTTTTTTGTTTATTTCCTTTTTTTTTTTTTTTTTTGTGGAGAGAGTGAGATTATCCACGATTCAATAAAAGAGACACGAGCAACCTCATTTCCTCCTCTCTTTGGTAGGGAGTCAGCAGCTGAGGCATTATGAACCAGAACTGAGGAGGTGTTTAAGTCCACTCAGTTTGTTCAAATGCTTAGTTTGCTTCTCTTCACTCAGGCAAGAGCCTTTGTAATTTGTATGAAACAAGCCCCTATCTGGGATGGCTATGGGTCTGACAGGTTGAGAAGCATTTGTTTAAGGTACTTAGGGTGGAGATCAATGACAGGATAAATGATTCAGGTTTTATGCATATCCTTCGGTTTGGAGGTGCAGAGTGAAACCAGGTGGAATTTCTGAGCAGATGGAACAACTAGAGCTCAAAGCTCAGTGCACAGGGAACCATGTGAAGTGAAGTCTCATTCCGGAGAGCTGTGGGAGGCCCGGCTTGATGGGACAGCCTATTCATGTCACTGGAATGCACTGTGCTGCTCTGTTGTGGTCTTAATTTATAGTACTACACTGGGCTGTATGAACGTATCCCACGTTCTTCAAAGCACATCTGTAAGTTTTGCACCATCCCTAGGTTTGAAAGATTTCAGTGACTTTGTTACCTTGCATTTCTTCAGTGTGGCTGTAGAGGACAGCTTGGGTTGCTGCTCAGGACAGAGACCCTATTCCTTTTAAGGCTTGAATACCACTAAGCAAATTTATGCTCACTAAATAATAACACTCAGCTTTACTCATCACTAGCTTTCAGTAATCAAATATGTAAAAGAATACACAAGTATAAACAGAGGCACATTAAAATTTGTAGCTGTTCAACAGAATGAAGAAACAGCTCTGATTCTTTCTACTCCCATGGTAAAAGGTTTACACTAAGAGCAAGTCAAAAATCAATCTGAAAATGGACTAAGAGCCAAAGCCTGAGATGAGTTTCTAACTGAGGAAAGTTTCCTTTAAGCCAAAGGGGACTCAGTCCCTAACCAAATGTCTCAAGCTGTTATTTATTACATTATTACAGTATTGTTATGTAAGCCATAATGTGTTTCAGTAGGCAAACATGAAGAACACTCCTCAAATAGCAAACTTCAGGAAATACACAGCTCAATTTAATTTTACTGCACATCCCATTATTCTTGTACTGTTGGAAGCAGCAAACAATCATTCCATCTTCACATTCCATGAGCCCCTGGTTCAATAAGGCTGTCTCTGGTCTCCTCAGCAGCTACCTTTTCTGAGCCAGCACTCTTCTTCTTTTCATCCCTACCGTGTTCAAGCTTCTCTGTATGTTTGGTCAGCCACGTGGCCCTTTTCAAGCTTATCTATATCCTCTGTGAATTGGAATGACCCAAAATACACACCCTATTCAATAAGTCTGAGCACAGAGACTTTCAAGTAGTGTGACCATGTGTCCTATTTGTTTCCTATTCTTTTTTTAGTGTTTTTTAGCTTTCTGCTGGGATTTGTCAGTATGACCCTGCTCACAAGTGAACTGATGATTTCAAGACCTGCCCAGGTCTCTTTCCTGAGAAAGAGATAATTACAGATTCAGAGCCTGTCACTGTAGATACATACTTAGAGGTAATTTTCTACCCATACACATTATTTTGCACTTATCAGAGCAAACATTTTGTCATCTGCTCACGTAACATTATGTGTACCTAAGATGTTTTAGCTGTCAGGTTTAGATGTGATTATTCTGAATAATTTTGTCATGGTGTTATTCACTGCTCTGTCAGGTAGTTTGTGACTAGATTCAGCCTCACAAGTCCCAAAGCACATGTCCGAATGGGATCCTGCTGGTTAGCTTGTGTCAAAATTACATTTATTTCCTATCTTTAGCCGTGACGTGAACGTCCCTTCTGATTGTTTAGCTTCCACCTACCCTTTTGTAATGAATACACAATCATTTTCTCTTCTAATATATTGGAAAGCATCACAGGGACAGGTCAGCTTTTTCTTTGGTTAGCTTCTAAAGTTCTTTTACCATCAGTACTTGGAGATGAACTATATGATCCCTGTAAGAATCAATTAGCTTTGGCTTTTTGTAGGCACAGTCTCTCATATTCTGTGTGTCATGCACGTATTTTTTTGCAAATGGGTCATTCTGAGACACATCTTGTAGTAACAGACAACATCAACTGACAGTTTTCATCCTGTAGGCAATCTGAGCAACATGAGCAAATACAAATGTTTGAAATGGTCATTTTTAATAGTTTAAAATATATATGAATTCTGATAATTAGAAAATGAGTGGCTTTTTAATTGCTCAGACTCTTTAGTCAGAACCAATTCAGTGATTGTTCTCACTCAGGTAGAGCATAGGGGAATTTAATGGCAGATGTGAAGTTAATTTTTATTCTTATGACATATTTAAAAGAGAATCTGACCCATACCTCCCTTTAGTTTTTGCTAAGTGTTTGATAAAAAAGATTAATGTTTTTATGATGGACTGTGAGCTTGTTGATTGTTCCGGTAAGCAGCAGCTGCAAAATCTGATGCAGTTTAGTGTGTGACAAAGCTGAATGTCACATTCTAATTCATTTGAATAGCAGCCAAGCTAATATTCCTTATTGGGGTAAAATGCTCACTAAAATGCTTTTATGGAATTAGGGTGGCAGATTCATCATAGAAATTTGGGAACACTCTGATTTTGGGTGCATTGAAAATGCATTGTTCAGATGAACAAGCTATTTATACAGACATGTGGTGTAATACTGGATACTCCTTTAATCTTTTAGTAATCCAGACATTACCATATGGACAAACTGTACAAACTGATTTGAGGAGACCTCACTGGATAAATGAATACCCTGCTTTAGTTAATTTGCTGAGCTTTTATGTTAGTGTATCAGGAAAAAAAAAAAAAAAAAAAGCTTTCAGCACATAATTTATTTGCAGTGACATATAAAATGAGACTGATGACACTCAATACAGGTTTAAGGCAGCTTGTTTGACAAGCAGCTCATGATGGTTTGGACAGTTATCTGGAGGGCATTCTTTCAGTACTTCTTTGCTTGTAGCCAGTGCACAGCCTTTCCAATGTGGAACCACCTTTGCACATACATACCAGAGAATGCACAGTTTCCTCTAGCGTTTTGCTTTCAGTGATGTGCCTGCATTAATTTTGCTTAATGCTGTAATGGGTTATTTAGTTTTGTTATCAACCTCTGCTTTCTCATTCTTCTGTCCTGTGAGGAACTGCCATATTCCTCCTCTGTAGTTCTCATTCCCCAGGGCATATACGAAGGCATCCACTGTTGGCACAGTCTTGGCAATAACGGCAGGAATCTGTTGTGAGACACAATATTTATTAATAGGAAAATGCACCAGGGAGCCAATGGGCTGATTTCAGCCTAGGCTCAGTTTCCCTTTGCCAAGCAGATGCCTGTCTCCAATGGCAGTAGTTTGCTACTCCCAGAAAGATGAGAGGTAAAAGCAATTTGGTCAGCTGGAGGCCCTTGCTCAGGAAATTACAGTCTCCAGGAGAAAGAATTTAGATCAGCATTTCCTGAAACTGGTATAGTTCAGTTGAGTGTGCATACAGACACTGAGGAGTGAAGGGTGGATACCACCTAAGTGGGCTACTATTCCAAACATATTTTATGTGGGATACTGAATACCCAAGTACAGTAATGCATTTGGTGACCTGAAACCAGGCTGATTTTTGGGGACTGAATGGAAGTTGAAAGGTTTGATGTGATATTACTGAGTCCCAGAGGCAGTCTCAGAGACAAGATGCATAGAAAAAAAATGGAAATAAAGAGGCAGCATAACTGTAAGAGTGATCAATTGTAGTTTCCCTGAGGAGAGAAAAGTATTAGAAAAATGATTGAGACAAACAGCCTCTTCAAAACTGAAAATTTTGAGCTGGTACTTGACTCTGGGAAGGACATAAAAAGCTCTTACAAACCATGAAGCAGTACAGGCTATAGACCCCCTAACTAACTGCTGAAGAAAAACAGTTCCTACTTCCTAAATTGTTGCTCGATCAAAGCAGTAATATAATACCTGTTGTATCACTGTTCTTAGCTGTTTTGCCTTAAAAGTGGTAGATGAACAGAATGCTTTGAGGAAATGATGTACTTGTTATGTATGTTATAACAAGTAAAACCAGTTGTGAGTAAATTGGCACTGTTCCATAGGAGTGGAGAGAGAAAAGTAAGGGAAATGTAATTATTTGAATTCCTTTGGGTGGCATAGGCATACCATGCGGTATTTTGGTGAAATGAACATCACATTTTCAACTGCTGCGTAGAAGCATAAAAGGCAATAGGGACCCCAGCAAATGACCAGCGTCTTCAATGGTAAGCCAGTATTAAACTGAAAAACAAGAGAAATAAATTCTTTTGTGTTTCACAACCACACACTGCAACAAGCGAATGGGACAGATCCCGTGAGAGCATGGTTTGTGTTCAGTAGCAGGAGGGGATCAGCCAGCAGGATATGCCGGATCATTGCTGTTTTGCTGTCTGTGTCTGAGGTGTGTGGGCACAGCTCCTGCTGCACTGAGAGCTGCCTGTGCAGCAAGCCCCAAAGCCCTGCTCCCAGCGGGGGAGTGGCAGTTGCTCCTGGACAGAGGTGACAAAACACCTTATGGTAGATCACTTAAATCTATGTGTGTGCTAGACGAAGAAGCCATGGCCAGTAATTGCTGCTGAGGGGGGAGGGCAATGCATAAATTTAAAAACAGATAAGAAGGAATGACATTTTGCTGATTTAGAGGGTCTTGCAGACAAATAAACTGTGTGAAGCCACCACTATGCCAGTGCAACAGATGGATGCAGTGGTATCTGTGTTGTAGTAGGATTCCTCTGTCCTTTGTGTTAGGGCCTTATGTGCGGTGTTCATGGCCAGCTGTTCCCAAGTATATAATAAATATATTAGTGAATAGAGAATTGGTAATTTAATCCTTAAATTTTCTAAACCATAGCTAATCTGCACAGTTACAGAATATTGTAAGAAAGAAATCACGTGCTATTGTATAAACTCACTGGAAAAAAACGGCAATAGACTTACAATAACAAACATTGATATTTGTTCAAGAAATATGTAGAGGGCACATGCATTTATTCCAGACAGCTACAAACCAGTCTGCCTGACTGTCTCTTTGCTGGTATAACATCCCCCTTGAGAAATGACTGTCTTTACTGAGTGCAGGGGTCAGGCTGTGCCCACCAGCCATGCATAGTGCCCCAGACTGTATAGCCTGCACCTAAGGAAACAACTCATATAATCACCACATTACATTCCCATAAACCTGCTACGCCAGAGCAATTTCTTTGTTTCCAGCTCATAAAGATTTCTGAATTTCCTCAGCCAACTGTAAACATGATGTGTATAGGAAGGCCCTTTTCCCGCCATGGGGTGCCTGCCTGTTTCTTTGCAGTGCTGCAGTTCTGGCTGACTTCCTCAGCGATAAGCTAAGAGCCTGTAGCAAAGCAGGAAATAACGGTCCTTTCTGGATAAATATTGATATGCTATTAGCAGATATTCTGTATGCTACGTGTTTGTTTTGTGACTAGAGTTGGATCAGTGTTGGTGTAGGGGATTCTCAGAGTCACTAGTCTGACCCCTACTTTGATGGGGAACTGTTTCCAGCACTAAGTTGGGGCAGATGTGGCTTCCTGGTCAAATCTTGACATCTGTAAGGATGGGCTTTCCATGAATTTTCTGGGTGGCCCCATCCTGCCTTGCGCTACTCTCCTACTCAAGTTGGGGAGTTGAGCTAAAGCCTCTGTGAAAGAAATGGGCTTTTTGAGGACTTTGTCTTTATTGGATGCAGCCTTATTTTGGCAAGGCAGTTGCAGGGGCTGAGGAAGTTTTCTTACCTTATAGTGCCCACTTTTCTTGAACTTCTGGTGTACAGACTGATAGGCCATCATCATGATGAAGCCTGGGATCATGAAATTGAAAATGGACAGAGCAAAAAGGAATGTGATATAGTTTCTGGAAAGGGTGAGGAGGGGAGAAAAAAAAAGAGGTTGTTAATTCCTCTCTAGGGCATCTCTGTAAATGTGCTGTAAATATTCAGTAACTTGTTTGGTTTTTTGTTTTTTTTTTTTTTTTTTTTTTTTTTTTTTTTTTTTTTAATTACCAAAACCAGTTTTGTCAACATGCTTCAGGTGCAGCATTTGCTGAAGACCAGTGAAGTCCTGCCATGCTGTTGTATGTGGGATGGATAGTACTGTAGAAAATCACAACAGGTATTTTGTTTCTAAACACAGACATCCCTACTCAGACATCTGTGCTGGACTGCATAAAACCAAAACCATTCTGAAAGAGTTTCAAGTCCCAAACCCAGAAAAGATGCAGCTTATAGATGAGCAAGAGAGTAGCAGAAACCTGAGCACCAGCCTCTCCTGTGGAGGAAGCTGACTTTAGCCAATTTACCCACATGCTGCCATGTGAGCAGTCAAGGCAGCCTCGGGTCATGCATGCCTTGCCCCAGCTGCTGGGGAGGGTCATGCGCCCCATAAACAATGGCAGGGGATGGCTGGGGATTTTTCTGTGCTGCCAAGGGCACCCCAGGGCTCAGCAGCCTCCACCCTCCTCCCGTGGGAGCTGGCCCCAGCCCTCACCTGTCCCCTTTGCTGTAGTCCAGGGTGCAGCAGGTTCGGAGGGGTTCATAGTCGTATTCTCCCCACCCCAGCAAGGGCATCACGGACCAAAAGGCAGCAAACAGCCACGCAAACACCATCATGGAGATGGCTGTGCTCCACTGCAGCTTGCTCCCTGCGGGAAGAGAAAAGGGGGTCTCCGTGCCTGAAACAAAACCAATGGGCAAAGCTATCCAGCTCTTCTGGGCCAGAGTCAAGTACCCCGACCCCTGGGCCTTGGGCAGAAACCAGTAGTTGTCTCTATTTTGTAGCCTGAAAGCTGACTTGTGTCTGGAGGAATCCGCCTTGCATAAAATATGAAGGAAGATTTTAGACTTTAGGAAACAGCAAATTGTACTTCCCTTTTGTGTGCTTTACTTAGACAAATGCTCTACCGCTGCTTAGCTTTGTCCCACACTGTGGAGATACAGCTGCTATTAGAAACATATTCTTGTGTTTTGGGAATGTGTTTAACGACTCACGTGAGGCAGAGAGTAGAAGGAACAGGGCAATGCAATAAATAGTGTTTGAAGAATCAGTGTTCCACTGCAGGGTGTGGGTCAGATTAGAAATGTGACTCTACACACACTCCCCAGCCCCTGCCTACCTTCTTTCTGCCCTGCCAGGAGTGCAGGGCACACATGGATACTAAATATATTCTGTTCTAAACTTGCTGCTCATCAATATGTATATGTGACAATATATACACAACCTGACAACAGGTCTTTTTTCTAAAAATACTGCTGGTCAAATTATTTTGCCCTTAAGACCATTGCTTAGTCTGGAACAGGAAATGTGAAGATCAGCATTAGTATTTTTTTCCTAATTTTATAATAAAAATAACCACTTGTGCCTATCCCGTCTGGTTCTGTAAAATACCATAGGAATAGGTCAATGAATGAGATGAAAAATTGGAAACTTCAGAAGACAAAGAAAATATTCCTTTATGGAGAAGGCAGTCAGGCTTCCCTACTGCTGCAGCACATTGTGTTAGCCTTGCTGCTTGTGTGTAAAAAGGCCTGGATAATTTTGTAATCGAGGCTAACATTTGTAATCATGCTCATGCTGAATAGCCCATGACGCCAGCTACACCAGCAAGCAACACGGTGACTTTTCCCACTACTCCTTTCTAATCAAATCTCCCATTAAGGAGAAGTAATGATGTAATTTTCACTGCAGTTGGGAAGCAGTCTTTTTGTCTGCCCTTAATAGAAACATCATGACAGCAGGCCAGGAAGATTCAGGCCAATTCTGACCTTTCTCAGAAAGGTGAAGTGTTGGAGGTGAGATGCATGAGGTGAAGCATTGCCATAGGATCAGATGTGGCTGACTCATGTGTGGAAAGCACGTGGGGGCCACACAGGCTGGAGCTCCCCTTAAGGCAGCAGCTTTGGGAAGGACTGCAAACTCTACAGTAGCTATTTTGTGTTGTACTATCCTTGTATATTTTAAAGTAGGCATGTTAATGAAATTGCCCCTTTACAGGAATGATGATTATATCCCTGTCCTTCTCTTATCTTCCAGAGATTCTTTAGGGAAAAGTATTAGAGTTTGAATTGCATTAAAAATCAACTTGGAAAAATTGTTTGATGCAGATGTTCAAAAATGAGTTATTGGAAAAGGCAGGTGTACATACTGCAATTTAAATACCAAGGAAAAAGTAAAGAAAATCCTTTTTATTAACTACTCTGTGTTTTAATATGGTAGTTACCAAAATATATATTGATTGTTTTAGTCACTTAAAACATTATTTTTTAATAATTATTAATGAAGAGTGATTAATAATGACCAATATCTGTCTTTTGCATGATTCCTACATAGAAAATATACTTTGGCTGCAAAGGCTCAAATATTGCTTTGTAGTACTGACATAATATAAATCTAGAATGACGTAGATGAAAATAAAGGAATAGTTTCTGAGTTAGGGCACTAGAAATAAAACTTTTTAGTAACTTGTAATTATTCTTAATCTCCCAGTCCAAAGAAGCAATGTAGCCTAAGGTGTATCTTTCAGAACTGCATCCTATTTAGGTATATGCTCACATGAGCATGTTAGTTGTTACTCATCCAAGGTTTCAATTTCCATTTGTGTTCTACATAGTGATTCTTGTAGCTTGGCTTTACACAACCATAACTTGAAATTTGATCAGGACAAGGCTTATAATATAAGCTGTCAGGTTTGTTTTATGTTTTACATATTCTAACATTTTCAAGGTATTAGAAGCAGCTGCACTGAAATATGGATCTGAACTGTGTTTCTTTTAAACCAAGCTCATGCTAAAAATAGCTTTATTGCTTTGGGAATACAATTTTGTAAGTGGTGAGCCCTCCTGATATTCTGAAAAAAACAAACTGAATCTTGGAATCTTTTTGTTTCTCAGCAATTCCTATAAAATAGTTAATACCAATTCTTTTTCATGGTATATTGTGATGGAAATTTTGCTCTCTTTCCATCCCCATTCTTTCAATTCATGGCCTAGTGCAATGTCAGGAATGTCTCAAAACACAATGGACCCTGACCAAGGCAGTCTAGTGCCGCTGGGTCCTAGCCTCACACTGGCACCTTATGGATCTTTGCATGTAAGGAAAAGATCCTTGCATTGACAAAAAATTTGCCCTCAACGGCTGGGACAGTGTTGGTGCATGCTGAAGGCAGCCTGGGGGTGCCAGTGCTGACAGAAGGTGGCTGATCCAGCTGCCTGCATGCGTGCATGGGGGTTGGTGGAAATCTCACCTTCCCTGCTGTCGCCTTGCTCAGAAAAGCAGGAGCAGCTCTCACCACCTCTGGGGCCTTTCATGGTGCCAAGTCTTTTGGTGCCACGTCTTTCCTCTGGCCCCATGTGCTACAAGTTGGGGTCAGTGCAGGCAACAAGAAAGTTGTGAAGCCTCCGGCTGAAATGGCTTTCAAATATTTTCGATCAAGAGTGGCTTTAATGAAGATTTCTATGTTTAGTTTTTTTAACAGGAAAAGTGCAGCCCATAGGACACTCTAGGGGAAAACTCCCTGTGCTTTTGGCTGGCAGTGCCCTGATTTGGCTTCCCTTCTGCTGCAGCTGGGGAGGCCCACACGCCTGACAGGGCCATGGGGAGAACAGTGAGATGACACTTCTCAATTTCCATTAGTTTTCTTTTTTCCCCCTTTATGTTCCTAATTTTTTGCTTTATCATTTGTGCCTCTTCTATGAAAAACTAAGAAAAAGTTTATTTTAGTTATTTTTCCATGGGTGTCAGGGAACACCATTTTCTCAATAGATGTAGAGTAAGAGGATCATGCAATGATGGTCTGGCACCAGGCATGTCTTCACAGACAGTGTCTGGAAAGCTCATCTCTGGGGCTGAGTTCATATGTTGTGTCTCCTCACACTTAAGGAGTCCTGTTTTGGATACTACAAAAGGAGAGAATTAGAACTAACAAAATTAAATTTTTCCTTCTGAATTTGGCCTTTTGCAAAATGAGATTAATGGTGAAATAGTCCTGGTGAAATCATCAGTCTGTTGACCCTCTGGAAAACATTTAATGATGTATCAGAAGTAGCTAAAAATGTATAAATGTAAAATTAAACAAACTTGATATTATTTTAGTTTTACCCAGAAAAAATACTTTCAGTACAAGAACGGTGAAAGAATCGTACTCCTTTTCACATGGCAAACATTCTCCTCTGAGAGGGCTGACAAGAGAGCAAGTTGAGAGCAGTTCTGTTGTTTTTGTGCAGAGCCGGCCATTACTTTAGCTTGAATGCCTTTTTTTGCCTGATAAAATTTAATATAATAAATAATAGTCCTAATTCAGTTAAATGTGTATGTATGCAGTTCAGCATATGCTTAAGAATCTAATTCCTATTTAGGATCCAGTACTGGCAATTTGGTCCTCTTAAATCTAATCATTCTTGTGCTCTGGCTTTCTCTCCTTGGAAATCAAGAGGGAAGCTTAAGTTTTCCATACAGTGACATATTAATACAGGGGATTTTAAATGGCTTCTGTAATTGCTTTGGAACTGAAAGATGTCACTTATAAACACACTCCCCATCATTTAAAGATTACGAAAATTGTGATGTTGTCCTGGGATAGAGTTAATTTTCTTTCTAGTAGCTGGTACAGTGCTGTGTTTCAGATTTAGTGTGAGAATAATGTTGATAACACCTGATGTTTTAGTTGTTGCTAAGCAGTGCTTATCTTAAGTTAAGGATTTTTCAGTTTCCCATGCTCTGCCAGTGAGGAGGTGCACAAAAAGTTGGAAGGGAGTGTGGCCAGGACAGCTGACCTGAAATAGCCAAAGGGATATTCCATACCGTAGGACGTCATGCCCAGTATATACTGGGGGGAGTTGGCCAGAGAGGTGCAGATTGCTGCTCGAGCATTGATCAGCAGGTGGCTACTGAATTGTGCATTGCTTGTCTTTTCTTGGGTTTTATTTTTCTCTCTCTTTTTGCTATGTTTATTTTCATTACAATTATTTTTTTTTTGTTTCATTTTAGTCATTAAATTGTTCTTATCTCAATTTATGAGTTTTACTTTTTTTTTTTTTTTTTATGATTCTCCTCCCCACCCCCCTGGGTGAAGGGGAAGAATTGAGCAAGCATCTGTGTGGTGCTTAGTTGTCATCTGGGGTTAAACCATGACAGAAGTCAAAAGCTTACATTTTAGGAAGTGGTAGATATAGCATGGAACCTTAATCCTTTTGATTATGTTGGCCAGTTTTTAGTGACAGAATCATAAACTATTTCCCCATCTTTAGTCTGTCGGGACATTCATGAATTTTGATTTTTTGAAGATTTATAAATAGGTCAAACATTTGTTGATTTTCATAGAAAGAGCAAAAAACACATCTCTGACACAGTGGCTACCTTTCAACTACATTTCAGGTTGGTGTTCAAAAGGAATTTGTCAAACAAAAGGTCAACAGGATTTTATAGGGTGGAGGGAAAAAAAGTCCCTTTTCCTCCTTCTTGCAGATGGTTAATTTATAACAGCTGATATTCCAGAACAATGTGGCTTGTACCAGAGTTCATGGTATGCATCTCTTAAAATTGACAAAGTTTGTCAAAGACAAAAATACCTGAAAGTCTTATAAGGGAAAATACGTATCTGTCATAAGTAAAATAGGTGTTGGTACTTACTTCATCTGCAGTGCAAAGAGCATCAGTCACTGGTGCTCACAAATACTCATTTTTTGTAGGAATAAGAAAGCTGCACTGAATAATAGCTTCTTTTGTGCATATCATTAGGAAAAGCTCCTTCACATATACTAATACAGGGATTTTTTTTACTCTATTTTCCGTTGTGGTTCTCCACGATTATAAATCTGTCTTGGCGATTACCTCCTGCTTCAGTGAAAATGCAAGATCTGTATAAACATTGGCATTTTGTCAGGGAAAACTGATGCAGGTGCAAGACCAGATGAAGGCAGTGTGGCAGGGTGGCTGCAGTAAGTGTGACAGGAGGTAAGGACTTGCTCCTCATTTGACAGAGCTGACAGCTGCAATTGGAGCAAATGGCAGTTTGCTAATCTTTGAATACTAATATAACAACCTAGATTTCCTTGAATGTTAAGGATTAGATAAAACTCAATGTAATTCTGATTCTTGAAATTGAATGCTGCTGTGAAATCCCTGCTGATTTTCTCTTTTCTTTCATAATATTGAGAAAAATACTGACATAAATCACTTCAGATTTTCCATTTCCGCCTAATTCTTAAATGCAAGTATAAAATGTCCTAGATTTTTTTTTCTTTCATTTTAAAACTGTAACTGTACGCTGTGGTTATGAAAGGAAAAAACTTGACCAGGGTCCTTCCCCTCTCCACAAACTGCTGATGGCAACATGCTACTGTCTCACCAAAATGAACGATGTGTTAGATCAAAATGGCATCAGGAAAAATGTCTCTGTGGTAGGTTGCTGACACCCCGGGCTGTCTACCAGTTGCCCTCTGCCTGCCTGATCCCAGCTCCAGTGAGACTGCCCAGGCTGCTGCTTCCTTCCTCTCTTGCTATGTTAAGAACATAATTCAGGATGTTTTCCACATTTGAATGGCCAGAGAGGGAGAACTAACAATGTCTACCTTGATATAAAATGTCATCTTCTGTCCTGACTGCTTGGCTATTGATAGACAGCTTCCTCAGAGTTTGACCTTTCCTCCTTCACTGTCAGGCATGAACATAAAACTGCTTCTGTTTTCTCCTTTTTCCCTTAATGATCAGATTTTGAAATACAATAATCTGTTTTCCCATCTTGCTAGTGATTGACATTAAAACATTTCAGACTCCCTTGCCTTTCCTCCTCTAATTGCATACTTTTAGACTACAGATTTCTGTAGTTCTCTCTTCCTTGCTGTGAAAGTAGCATCTCATTGGCCCCAAAGCCACATTTAAGGAATGAAGTATTGTCCATCATGGTTGCCTGGGAGGAAGAAAGCAAGAGCGGGGAGAGTAAAATGCCTCGAAACTCTAGCTTCTCTGTCATGTGTGGTGACCATGCTGTATTATTCTGTATGCCAATCAACATCAACCTGTTTTCTGATGAATGGCATGTCTTGTTATCACTACACTTTAAAGGCAAGCACTTTGTCACTGAGGTTTGTATTGACTTCCAAATTTAAAAACTTGGTTAATTTTCAGGATATTGATGAACATATTTGTATTATTAGCATCTAGAATGGCTGAGAAGTTCCATTTTTTCTCATTACTGTAGTAATCTCTCACATTCTCATCAGCTCTTTCTCCCTCAGAGATATGGATAGTGGATAATCAAGTATCAAGCTGAGGAATGCCACAATAAAGATTTTATTGAGAAACTCTTAGGATATAACAAAAACATTGTGGATGATGTAATTGGGTCTGGAAGGAGTACCAGTTCCCGTGGAATGAAGATAAAAGGTTGATAGCTTTGGTTTTTAGGCAAAGGTATTTTGTAGCTTCTGTACAGGCATGCAACTTGCATCAGCGTCAAAAGGAGTTTAATGTATGGATTGAGAACACAGTATAGCCTGTAGGCTTGGTATATCAGATCTATGAAATACGACTTAATCTTCCTCACAATCAGCATGTGAAGGATGAAACTGGAAGTGGCTGATTTTACTGGAGTAGCCACAGAGCATGAGCTTTTAAAACCTTCTGGGTTTTTGTTTTTGTTTTGTTGTTCAAAATGTTCAGTAATAGCAATGTTTGGCCATCAGTAAGTAACAATTTGAGCAAAGTAAAGAAGCTTGTGCCCTTAGTGTCTCTATGCCTGTGCTCTTAATGTAGTATGCTCTTGACTGGAGGAGTGTGTGACACAAAAGCATTAAAGTAAATGTTGCAGAGAGTAAAATGTCCTTCCAAAGACATGCTTATTTTCAGGCTATCTTGCTTGTAAAATACAGATGCTACCCTTTTAGCTCCAAACATGTTTCAGTGTCCAAAGGGTGTTAGTATGGATTTAGCTTACAGCCTGCACTATTTGGGGCCTTTGTTTGGACATGAAAAAACCCACATTTCCTTGCCTGAGCTGAATTCTTGAGAAAAGTTACAGGACAAAAAGTTGGCAACCTTTCCACCCTCAACGGGATCATCAGTTTGAACGTGTTCACTGTGTTCTCTGAGTGTGTTTACCACTTGCTGCTTTAATCATATGGAGGCCATGCCTGAAAGGCTGTGGATGCTAACGGCAGAGGGGATTGAAGTGCTACAGCTCAGCAGTTTCTTTCCCAGCCAACTTTTACAGTTTCATTTAGAAAATATTTTGTGAAGTGGTCTGAGCAACCTGTGCTTTAGCACAAGAAAAGGAGGGCTGCATTTGTCTATCAACATTGTCAAAGGGAAACAATTTTTTGGGAATGGTGTGGTCATATGAGGTGCTCTGGACTCCTCATTCCTCTGGAAAGACCCTGGCTTTAGCAGGAAAAATTAAAGCTGCAGATCTGCATAGGAGGACCTCATCCATTTCTTCCAGGCGGCAGAGCTCCCACATGGCTGCCAAATGGCCAAATAGTGTGGATTAGGGCATTCCTAGTGTTACGGAGTGCTAGGATGTCCTTTCAGAATAAGTTTGTATTTAATATCATGCCTCTTTCCCTTTTCCTAATGAAGGCCATGAGATTGTACAGCCTACGTTTGTCACTTAGTCCTTTCCTAATAACTTTTGAAAACACTAGCTACTTAGAAGAAACTGGAGAAGGAAGTGGGGACTAACAGGTACTAAGTTTCTGCACTTACTGTGAAAGTTGATGTCTGGGGAGAGGTGAGGCCCCATGAGAGGACCCACAGAGCAGTCAGCACAAGTCTATCATATTAGACAAAACTGAACATCATGCCTGTGCACCATATTCACAAGAAAGCAGGTTTTGCCAGTTCCAGTGCTTACAATGCTGCTAGTTTGTTTTAGAGCAGATGATAATGCCCCTTGCTATGATTTCTGTCTTCTGTGCTAAGAGAATTCAATTATTCCCCTGTTCTCCCCAATCACAGTGGTGGCTGGAACACAGCTGGAGTCCCAGCACAAATCCCATCAGTCTCTGCAGACACCAAATCCAACTTGGCACCCTAATTCAGCAGAAATTTCCACTCATGTTACATGAATGCACAAATCCAGTACTGCCAAAGCTTTGGGGGAAGTTCTGTGATAGAAAACAGAGCATATTTATCTCTATAAATCAATATATTTGACAATCCTGCCAGTCTCTATTTCTCACCTAAATCAAAAATATGGTTTCACAAGTCCATAAAAAAAAAAGCAAATTTATTTTCCTGGGTTGATCCCTTTGTCTAATATTAGATTTCCATTCAATTCAGCTAAGGTGACAGAGCTAGTTAAAAACGAAATTGCAAGAAAAAACAAAAAATGGCCTTTACTAAGAGAAGAAAAATAACATATTCCTCCTCTTATCAGTACTTAAAAATAGCTCTGCCACATTTATTGAAACTTTCAGAAAATCTGTTCTTTCCTTGGGAACAAATATACTGAGTTTCAGTCTCCATAAGGGAGACTGGAACATAGAACAAAGCCCACAAATGACTCTTGCACCCTGAAGTGCTTGTGTGTCGCACAACAGGGATGCTGAGCTCTGTCTACTTGATCGTATCTCTGCGGAAGTGCTTTTCCATGGGCTCTGTTCCAGCTGCTGTCTCTGCAGGGGCAGTTCTCTAGCTACACCAAATTTATCTGTAATTAGTAAACTCTGCATGAGCATGAAGATCTGTTTGGTACACAGCAGGGTGTTGGATGGAAGCCCACGGTGCATAGATTTTTCTTCAATATGAGGAGCTGGATTTTGTTTGGGACACTGAAGATTACTGATGGAGAAGATGAAATCATGGCAAGAGGGTCACAACTTGGATGTGATATCGAGGAGGATATGTCTCCTGAAGGTGGTTGGTTAGTGCCCCCTGGAAGGGAAGAGTTCCCGTGGAGAGATTGTTTATATTTGCTCTCTCTCTAGTGTGTAAGATAAATAAACTTACATATAAAATATGCAGATAATAAATATGTACTTGTTTTGATTCTTTGAAATCTAAGCAAACTGCCTTATAGCAGGATCTGGGTAAGGTTGCTAGGAAGATTGTAGCCCTTACTTGTACAGTAGTGATGATACCGGTCCCAGGCGACTGCAGCGCTGGAGCTAATACTGGCTAGTGCTGTCAAGAAGCCCTGGAATCCATGAATTTGGCAGCCTTCAGAGCCATAGGGCCAGTATCTATCAACAGACAAGGAATATGTTAAGAAAATTACAAAAAAAGGTGAAGACATGTTTGGAAATTGCATTAATTGAGAGGGTAAAATGATAGCCTGTGCCCATGCTTTCTAAGTCTGAGAAACATTGTGAAAGATGTTACGATGGTTGCCTTTAGGTATTTGGCAGCATTTATCTTGCTGTGGTGTCTGATATAGTACAACAGCTATTTTTTACTTTTAATATAGACAAGAAAATATAACCCTGTATTTATGTATCAGAAAGTTGTTTTTTTAATTTGAAATATACTTTTCATCCAATTATCCATATCTTCAAAATTTGCACCCACTGTGAGCAGCCTATTTGTCAACATGTGAAAGTAGCAAATGAGTAATAAACTTCTGGAAAGTCAATGTTCACCGTGCAACATAGTACCAAAGCTCACAGCAAATAAAAGCACTCCTCATAGCAAGACTGAGGCCTCCAAACATCCTTGCGGACAGAATGAAAGGAACCATGAGATGGACTCATGCAGCAGACATCTGCTAACGTGCCTTCAATATCCTGGTTACCCATGGCAAGGAGACATGGCTTTTTTTCATTCTGTTTTCATCTATAACCTGACTCTTATGCTTAGAAAGCTGACTGTGAGGTGGAAATCTTCAGCAATCTCCTTTCACATGTATTTACAGAACACCAGTATAGATCATTAGGAGACTACCCCCAGAAGTCCCTTTGAACAGGAGATAGCTGACTGCTTGGGAGGCTGGGAAACTTGTGCTCCCATACCAAAGAAAAGGTCCCACTTTTGTTAAAACCAAGCTCATTCCGCTGTATTGACTTTAGCTTCTCAGCTCCAGTTCAGTAAAGACATATTTATTGACTTCAGTGAGACATAAGTGCCTGAAATGAGTGATCTATACGGGAGGCAAAATAGTGTTGAATAAGGTCTCATTGGAGCTTATTATTGACTTGTTAATTTGCAAAAATGGTTTTATATCCACTAAGAGAGAATAAAATGGTCACATTCTGGCTTGAAATGTATTTTTGTTCTCTATTAAAGGTGTTTACAGGGTTTAAAAATGTGCTACTTAGGTGGAATTATTAATCAGCTATTTTATAGGGTGGTGGGCGTTTTTTGGAGTATGGTTTGCTTGTGATTTGTTTGTTGTAATTATTCACTGAAATGCTTGATATTGTTTCTGTCCTCTGATTAAATGATTGATGTGTGAAAATGTGAAAAATCAAATGTGTCATAACTGATGCAAACTCCCTGCTACAGATCTGCATTTTAATTTTCCACAAACTTATCAAATAAGTGCTTTAATGGAAAGGTTCATAAAAACCCAGAAATACTTGCAGATAAATTTTGTGTAAATCTAGAGGTTTAGTCAAATGAAAATGTACTACTATTTCAATATTCAAGTAGCTTCTACTATAGCCACTGGTAAAGCTGTCTGGTTAAATGTCTTCTATAATCAGTTTTACAATCTGTCAGTGACTGTATGCAGTAAAGTCTGTTTTTTCACTTGACTGGTAGAACTATACAGAATTTCATTTTGCTGTTTCCAATTGAGAGAATGAGAAGGTTGGTTAGGTAGTATGCTAGAAAGAGAGTAACTTAGTTTGATCTCTTAGAACTTAAGCTCTTAATTTTCATGTGGTTCTTCTGAGCATCCTTTAGGGAAAAGAAGGTATACCTTAGGAAGCTGGAAAAGGCAGCAATGAATGCGTTGATGCAGATCCCACAGTCGGCCAGTGCAATGCTGAGAACCAGCAGATTGCTGGGCGTTCGGAGTTCTTTGATTTTTCGGAAAGAAATAATTGTCAAGCCATTCAGACAGAAACCAAGCAGGGCTGAAATACATAATTGTTTGGTGTGATTCAACTGGAAATGGAAAGTATCTACAATGATACTTGCTGTTTTCTTTAATGAGAGAACAATAATTACTGTGGAAACATGCACAGGGATCATATCTGTAGTGGTCACAGTCTGCATGCAAGTTACAAAGACTTTCAGGAGACAAGTCACAGATGATAGCTGAAGCCAGTGCTTCAACCTACATCAGGGATATGGGCAGTCATGCAGAGCAGAAATTGTTTAATATTATTTGTAATTCTGCCTTTTGTTTTAATAGAGAAACCCGATTGCCAGGCTCCATTCAGGGACACATGGGTCAGACTGACGGAGATGCAGAGAGGCAGTTTCAGAAGGGCTGACAGCCAGCACATGCTGCTGGTGCACACATTTCCTGGCCTGTCTTTGGTAGAGAAATGGATTGTGTTCAATATCAATAGTAACATTATTTTGTGTTTAAGCACAGAAATCCCTCAGCCATGTTTCAATCAGCCTGCCTCCCTTTGGGCTTCCTGTCTAAGGTTAACCTAGATAGTGCTTGGATCACACCAGCTCAATCTAATTACTGCCCTTCGTCAAAAGACTGTACATGGAAAGAAATAATCTAATTATAAAAAGCAGTCACTGATAGATTTAAAAAAAAAAAAAAGTTAATGTTGGTCCTCAGGAGCATCTAAGCAACCCCAGCTATTCACCCAGCACCAAGCTGTGCCACCCTGAAACCCAGTATTCACTGTTTTAAACTCAAGATTTGTCCTGTAATGTCCTTTTCAAGATTACCTGAATTATTTTAGCTCTGATGAGGCTCTGCCTCAGTATCCCATTTCTAAGACTCAGTTAGATGAGAGGAGGTATGTCTTTTTCCTTGTGTTCTTCTTGGAAAAAGAAATGATGTAGCACAGAAAAAATCTGTATCCCCTAATTCTGTAGTGTAGTTACTTATGCTCATTGTCTTAATTCTGCAGTTAGATAAGATGGATGATTTTTTGTAGTCAGAAATCCTGCTCCTACCTTAATTGCATTAATGGCTGATGGCCTAACCATAGTAACAGCTGATGCGTGTCTTTCATTACACAACATATAACAAAATTTTTCCAGGAGAAATATTCGGAACCATTCGAGATCTGCTGTTCTTATTTCCTCCCTGCCAGCTTATGTCCCACCCACAGGGTAAAGCTGCTGCCAACTCTCCCAAACGCAGTGAAGCCGTTAGGAGAGGTAAGTTGTGACCATATTCAGGTTAGAGATGAAGAGTTATTACTATATCAGCTTTTTTCTATCTTTCCCCTGGTTTTGGAAGCTCCAGGCTTCACCCCACTCTGCGTTCTTGAAGGCCAGCATGAGTGTAAAAATAGAGAACTTACTAAAATTAAAAAATCTAGCTTTGAGTTTTCATTTTTGAATAGCAAAAGTGTCCAGTTAATAAAGTGAATACAAGGTTTTTCTCTTCCCCAGAAGTATTTTGCAAACTGCACTTAGAAGCTGCAGCAAAAAAAGGTCTTCATTGCCTCTCTCTCAGAGTCTTTGAGAAAGTGAATTAATCTTCAATTATTTATTTTGATCTTCTAAGTCAGATGACAAAGAAAGTTTTATTGTTGATCTGCTGGGCACATTCTGCCTAAAACCCTATAGAAAATACTTGTGTTTAGTAAAACATAAATGTGTTAGACCACATCTAGTTTTAAATGAAGGTCACCAGCAGGTACTTTGCTTTGCCTTTGACAGCGTCAGGTCGTCAGGTCCCCGGCAGGCTGCGCTCCCCGGGCCCGGGTGGGCGGGTGAGGGCCTGCAGGGCTGTGGTACCACAACCAGCTGTTCCCCAGCAGGACCCTGGCTGTCGGGCTCTCCCAGCACCCAACGGTGTCCCTGTCCTCCTGCTGCTTCTCACCCCTCAGTAATGAAGTGCAAAGTCATGCCAGGACCTGCCAGGCCCTGCAAATGGATTAATGACTGTTGGCCAGGTTTAACCCTGAACTCTCTGTTTAGGCAGCATCTCACCCATGGACCAGATGTAGAAGCTTTTTCTTTTCTCCCTCTCTTCCAAGGAAGAGTTTCTGACACAGCTCTTCCAGCTTTTTTTTTTTTTTTTGCATGCAGATATGATACTGCATTCCATCTGAGCTCACCTCCAAGGAAAGGGCGAACATCTTCCTTTCTCCCAAGCTCCATGTTCATGGGGTAAGCTGATGAGCATTTATCCCATTCTGATGGTGTTTACAGCTTCTCTTTCTCTACTGTTGGGCCCCATGATATGGCCCCATCCCCAGTTGAGCAGCACTATGCAGGGATGAGGTTCCAGGCCCTGGCTGGGATGTAGCTCAGAAGAGGCACCAGTGACTGACACTGAAATAATCCTAGCTACCAGCCTGTCCTTCACCAGCTGCCAGGTAGATAGAAATTCACAGTTTTGTTGCAGTCTGTCAACAAAGCAGCACATGCTTTAAGAAAAGCCCACATTAGCTAAATTAAATTAATATGGTCTCCTATGTCAAATTTTACTTCTTAACACTGTGAGAGTTTCTGAATCTCATGCACATGTATTTCTATTTGTTACTTTTACCCAGCAGCCATTAATCGCAGTGCTACCAATGAAATTTGGATGTATGCTAACAGTTAACAAGCTATTTTGGACCTATTATCTTTGCTTATAAGACAGCCATCACAGCCCACAAAACAGGCAGCCCAAATTTATTGAGAGATTATCAGTCATTTCAACATTCTTCCCCCGAGGAAGTCAAAATTGCCTTTAAAATTCAACAACAAAATCTTACATCCCGAATTTCTGATAAGAAAGCTAAGTAGCAAGTACTTCCCTGCCATAGGGCAGCTATGTATACAGAGCAGATCTTCACTGCTTGCAGCTCACCCTGATTTACTCACAAGAAGTACTGTTGATGTAGCCACAGTAACCACCATAAGTCTGGTTCAGTGTACCACAAATGCTGCTGTTTTCTTCAATTTTCCTTCCCCCTCCCACCAGGAATAATAGGGGCAAAAATCTTACTGCTGCTGAGGTACCACATTGAGCTTACCTTCTACCAGCAGAGCAGTGCCGATGGCAAACACCTCTAATTCAGTGAAGCCTTCAGGGAGAGGGTGTGCAGTGACCATACTTGCAATAAAAATACCAACAGATTTAACCTCTGCCCTGTTATAGCTGTAGGGCTGCCTTTTCTCCAGATCCTCTTCTTCCACTAGCCCAGGGCTTCTTAAAGGAGCAGCTCACGTGCAGACACATGCTCATTATTATATAAAAGCCTTGGGGTTTTTATTCCCACCACTACAATCCCTACAAGAATGTTATTAATGGTGGGACTAGCATCAACCCGTATTCCCCCTTCCCCTGCAAATCGTATTTCAGACACCAGCAAAATGAAAGCATTCATTGCAATTACAACAAGTTCTTTATAGAGACAAGATTAATTCTGTCCAGTTAATTCTGCAACACTGGAAAGAATTAACGGTTGTGGAATGAAGGAAACATGTAATATGTAATTGAGGAGTGACCTGAAAAACAAAGGGGCACTCACTGAGTTGGTAATTAGGGGAAAAGTATGAACTGAGAATTTTTGCAGCATATACGTCTTTCCCTCACCCCTTTTTTAGCAACTAGCCAGTGTATTTTTCTGACAATGACTATTCTGTATACTAACATGTCTCCTCTTCATAACTGAGGCTTAAATTAAGGTGCACACTGGCACAGCCTGATTAAAGGCAAACACTTACAGATTGCCAATTTTGGGCCCCAGACATACAAGACATACAATATGAGTTGCCCTGTGGTGAGAGCTCACATGAATTACCTTACTGTCTTTTTGGAGATGTTTGAGATCTGGGGTCTTGGTGTAGAGTGGCTCTGGAGTATGTGCAATGTGCAGCCATCAGGTCCTTACCTGCCGGCTGACTTCCCACCAGGAGCAAACCACATGATGGATCCAAGATGCGCATGTGCCCTTGTCATTTCCCAGCCAGATCAACCATTTCCCTTTCATTTCTTGTACTACTGATGGATTAACTAGCTCTTTGGGAATTTGAGTGCCTGGATCCTTGCAGAATGGAAGACAGCAGCTTTCAGTGTACAAGTGAAAAAAATGGTACTTTTTTAGCTATAAGACTATATTTATGTAATTTTCAATGCCTGTCCATTAAAAATTAGCAATTTGGCCATACTTCTCAATTTTAACCTACATTTAGAGTAGCAATAGCTATAATAACTACTAGATAAGGTTGTTTTCTTTTAATGGTACTTTATTCAACCCCTTTCAGTGCATTTATTTCATTTTTCTTCACTTCTCATTCCTTACTACTTTTCCACAGACCTACTCATTGACTTAACAGCAAGGTGCCACTAGCATGATAGTTGTTACTTTGACACATAACTTTCTTCATCCTCATAATCCTACTGCAAAATGAAAGCAAAAGGGAGATGAAGCACAAGAGGCATTGGCTTCCCCCAACTCAGGCCCCACACTGTGCTGATCTGGCTCTTGGTTGATTGAGATGTCAGGCAGACTGATTTTGCTCCAGATGCAGCCAGAACTTGTTTGTGGTTCTCCTGACTACACAGTGGAGGTGCAGTCACAGTCAGGAGTCTTGGCTGAAGATTGTGGTGGGTTTTTTCCTGAAATCTGTTCTTACAGGCTGTGGTGCCCAGGAGAACTGATCGGAGCTTCAAGGCTGTTGTGAAACCATCTTGCTGTGTTTTGTGATCTCTGGCATTCAATTTACAGCTGTTTTTGATGTAAGTAATTGCCTTGATGGATATACTCTTTGATTTTGAAGTAAGATTCAGGAGGGCATGATATTTGTTAGGCTATACAGATGTTTGGTTTAAGCAGAACAAAATGACATTGCACCACATAAATCCATTGTTGTATTTGTCTTTCACTCACCTACATGTCTTGATGACAAAGAAGGTGACAGCCCTGCCTCCTAGCAGGGCAAATGACTGATCTGAACTTCTGTTTTAATAGTGATCCATCGTGTGTTCTTGCAAAAAATTAGTGCTAGACCTTGTAAATGTACTGTAAATCTTTTTAGTGTGATAGTTTTGAAAATAGATAGCTCATTGTAATCCTTGTCAACATAAAGCTGCACAGGTCTTCTAGACTAGGGATAAAGGACACAGATATTATACGAACTGTCCTCATGAGTGCTGTCAGGTGCTTTTGGTTACCTGCCACTGCACTTCACCCTCACTCCCAAGCCAGACTTGGAGTTGTTTTTACAAATGTGTTACACTACTGGTATTTTTTGTGGTGTGTATTAAAGTCGGTGCAGACTTTGCTTATTCCAAAACTGTCTTTTCTGAGAAAGTAGGCTACTACCCCAAACCCTTTGGATTTAGCAATCTTTATTAGAATGAATATTGTGAACTTGCTAGCTGCTTTTCTTCAAGTATCTTAAGAACTTCTGTGTCTAAACCTTATTTACTTTATCAATGCTGAGTATATAACACAAGTCAGTCACAGGCAAGCTTTCCAGTGATGGTTCGGCATCTGACTCAAGTGCAATTGGTATCAATAGAAACTTTATGCATCAGGCTCTCGATATCTATTTTTGATGCTGTGTTAAGCTGACTTCCTATTAGTTCATTGTGATCGTATAGGGTGATGTGTGGTCCAATACAGCTGCTATATTCGGTCAGTTATAATGGGTTTTCTTCAAGCAAAGAGGAGGTGTAAATAGGGAATGCATTACTGAGTTTGGTACAGTCTACTAATGATCATTATTTTTCCAGTTGATAAAACAAAGCTGCATTCATTTCCTTTTCCTCCTTTTTATAGAAGACATAACCTTGCATTGTGTATTCCTGTGAAGTCAATGAAAACATGCAAAGGATAACAGGCTTGCCAAAGACATTTATTAACTCCTTAAATTACAAAGTTTTTAGTGATCCTTTCCTACTTTATGCACTCTTTTGGTAGCTACTTGCCGTTTCTAAATTCAGGAGAAAAGGTCTTTCACTCAATCTGATGTTATCTTGCAACTTCATATTTTAAATTCCCACTGATCTCCTCTCTGCATCAATAAAACATCCATTTCCTTTTACTCTCCCACTTAAGAATACTTCACTGGTTACTAATCTGTTTGCAAGGAACACTCAGAAAAAAGGATCTGATTAGGTTCTTACCAGATGTCTCCATGGATTTCATAAGACTGTATGGATTTGGTGGGAGCATATTAATCTTTGTAAAATATGCACTAGTACAACCACAAGAAAAAAAGGTGCAGTGCAAAGATAACAGAGTGCTCATGCACTCTGAATTTTCTCCAAGCAATCAATGCAGATTACTGACATACTTTTTTATATTCACAGCAAAGACTTTGCTAAATTGATGTATTATTATTCCTCTGCTTTCCTAATCCTTTCTTCTGATTCAGGTTTAGCCAAATAATTTTTGACTTTTTATATTGAAAAACACATTTAAATGACAAACTGCAGCATTTCAGCAGAAGTGGGCTGGGAATACAGCCACACAGGACTTCATTTGATATCACAGAAATGAGTGGTAATCTTGGTCCCCATGGGAAATGCTTCTCATCAAGGAAAGGAAACCAGAAAGCATGTTGTCTGAACGCCTTCTAGTTTCAGTTGTGTAAATTTGCTTTGATTTGGATGCAGTCATTGGGAACACATCCCAGACTGTAAACAGGCACCTGTCATTGGCCACGGGAGGGTCAGTGCAGGAGACAAGCCCACAGAGCAGCATGTGGACAGGTGTCAGCCCTTTGGACAAGCCTGTGGCCACATAATAACCTTGTCAACAGTCTGGCAGTCTAACATGCTCCTCAATCTGATTTTCTCTGCAGCTGCCTTCAGAATTGTTTGGAGGAAGAAGTAGTGGCGAAGGCCTGGGGATGGCCAAGGAAGCTTGGGGGAGGAAGGAGCCAGTGGCCATGCTTTTGGGGAGTGAGTGTGGCAGCCCTGGGTCTGGTGGGGAGGATGCAAGGGGCTCCAAAGTGGAGCTTGTGTTTTTTGCGGACAAGATGGGGGACCGGGGTGGGAGGTGCTGTCTGTGCAGAGGAAGGTGGAGGAAGGGGCTCACTTGCAAGTGCAGAGAGGCAAGATCAGGGATAATATCCAGGAAAAAGATCCTTAGCCATGCTGACCCAAAGTGAAGGAGATGTGAATTCAGTGGGAAGTAAGAAAGCAGGAGGGACATCTTCAGAACCATAGTGGTGCTGTGTGAAAATCCCTTCAAAAAAGGACAAAGGTACCTCATCTCCTACCCAGATGCCATGTGTTAACCCTGTGCTTGGCTACATATGGATGCAGTGCTGCCTGGGCCTAGAGAGTCATTCACATCCATGCCGTGGTCTGGTCTCCAAACTGTGTGGCTGCCTGGGACCAGGCTGTGCTGGGGCTGGCTTTCCTGCACACTGCTGCACTTCAGGCATTAGAGAGTTGAAACTTACTGTTGAGTTTGAGAAGCATTGCCTTTCCTTCCTACTGTTTGAGCTACCCCTCTAGAGACAGGTAGCTTAATTCATAGTAAATTGTATATTCATTTGATAAATATATGTATATCCACCCAGGCTAGAAAATTAAAGTTACTAGAACATTAATTGTTTCCTAGACTTCTTACACTTTGCTGGATACACCAATTGTGATCGTTATCAAATATGTATATTGTTGCTTTAATGTTACCTGTCTCTCAAGATGCATTTTAGACATCTATAGATAATATGTTTTGCTTTCAATTAGCCTACTAATTTTAGGGTCATATACATATTCACAATATAATGAAATATGCTAACTCTCTGATGAATAGCGGCATATTTCAGGACTTTGGAGGAGAAGGCAGTCCTACAGAATATACCTAACACTGTTTGTTTAGTTTGCCTATTCTACATCCCACAGCATTTAGAATAAAAACTCTTCCAGGAATTACAGTTCAAAGAGCAATATTCAGTTCTCAAAAGAAACTCTGCTTTCAAGAGTGGCTTTAGTTGTACTAAGAGAGGATTTGCATGCCATCTCTCCTGTTTATTATTGCTCTTGTAAAGAAGCAACAGGACTCTGAATGGGCTTGTGCTACTGACCATGTATATAAATCATCTTCTAGGCCATGTATGACAAAAGCACCTCATTTTGCCCCATCACTGTGATATTGTATATCTTACCTGTCATAGCTGTCTTCTACCATTGTCTCTCTGTAGGGATTTCCCCAAAATTTCTGCTGACACTTCCCT